ACCCGTCATTTGGAAACCGTGCCCTGGTTTCGTTACTTTGGAGCTACACCTAGAATGGCGGGGGTTTCTCATGTTCGCAAGCCAGACTCAAGCTGAAATCATTCGCATTGCATCTAACGACTCTACTACGGATTGTCACCGAGAGCCTCCATTACAAGCTATGAACAGAAATTGTACGTAGCGGAGAAGGCTCAGGTAGACCAAGCGGGAGAAGACACTGTTTCGGGAGAGAAATAAGAGACTAGGTTGATGAGCCTCTGGTGAATAAAGAGCAGGCATTCTGTTGAGTTCGATGTATGCCACTAACACGATTATTTGTTTGGAACTATTTTGTGTGGAAGGTGACCGTGTTCCGTGTCCATATAAATAATGGGGGTGGAGCTTCTCTGTGTTCGTCTGACAGCGACGGTGCGCTGAGGCACGTCGAGAGTTCAGCGGTGCAGTGGTAGCGACCTAGCGTCCGCACCGAAAATAAAACGTCTCCAGTGTTGTCATCAAACCAAGTGTAGTCATCCGAAATGATGTCCACACAAAACCATAGAGAGACTTCCGCGCAAGAAGGACCAACAGAATCAACATAGCCTGACTGCTGTGTTCAAAGCAAACTTGAGAAAAACGAAGTATGCAACCATGGTTTAAATCCACTATAGGCTGAGTACTAGTTTACCTTAGATGTGCACTTTGTAATGTTATATTGCTCTGTTTTGATTCCATAAGAAGAGCTGTGAAAGCAGCTGTTGTGTGACAAAATATTTTTTTCACTGTTGTTGATGGACAGTCATGTTGCGTGAGAGATTATGTGTGAATAACTGCTCCCAGTGAAAAATGTTCATGTAAAATTGAAAATCGAAATTGTTATTTCAGTAAATATTTGCATTTTGCACATAGAAAACTGATTCATGATTCCATGTTGATGAGAGCATTAAAATGGGGAAAAATAGGACAAAAAATATAAAAGGAAATTCAGAAACGATAAAAAATGTGCGAGTAATCATGATTAATTTTTAGTTAATTTGAGTTAATTATGAGAGTTGCGTTTTTAATTAGATTAAATATTTTAATCGTTTGACAGCTCTAATATATATATTTATATATATATTACAGTGAACGAAAAGTGCTCCATTTTGGATCACTGTCATTGCGACAACGACCATTGCAGGAAAGTTACTTCATCGAGGTCGTGATTTAACGTAAGTGCATATTGTTAAGCTAAAGTTAATTTCAGCACTTTTAATTTTTGTTGTTATTTTTTTAATAATATAAAAAGGTCATTTTGACAAGGTTCATCACATCACACGGAGCATATTCAAGCAAAATGAAAATGGTGTCTACTAGTAAGCATTGTGATTTTCCAAAGTGCCTGTGATTATCAACAAGGACATGATTTATGACCCTTAAGAAAAAAAAAAAAAACAGCTGACACAATGACAGCTGCACAAAAGCCTGCAAGCAGATGTCGCCGCTGATCATGTCACGTGGTTACAAGGCCGGGGGATTTCAACACCACTTCGATTTTTCCGGGGTTAACTTCACACCTGTGAGAAAAGATGTTCTTTGACACATTCAACCAGAACTGCAGTTTTAAGGTGCGAGGGATCAATGGTTTGTCAACCATATATAAAAAAAAAAAACAAACAGAAAAAAATATGACAGTACAAATGGCCTGTGTGGAATTACCCTTTTCACAGCTGAAACCACACATTGACAGCTGTATGTCTGAAAAAACTTTTTCTTGAAACAAATTCTCATCGTTCAATGCTACTATTACTTTTATTTGTCAATCAATCGTAAAAAGGTATTCTTATTGTAATTCTTAAAGGAAAGGACGTGCAAGTGTGTCGCGTTCGAGCCAAGTCAACTTGTGAAACAAACAGTGCAGCTCGGCCTCTGGCAAGCAAATGCCATAGGCAGCAATACGCTTTTGGCAGTCCATCAAACTTTTTAACACGCTTTCGATGGAGCCAAAGCAAAAACAAGTGCCTCATTATTAAAAAAAGAAAAAAATCTAAAATATATGTTTAAAAAACAACAACAACCAACATTGTGTTCTCTTGGGATTATTCAGCTTTCATTCATCTGAATCTACACAAAACGTAGTAAAAATATTTAGCAACTGATTAAATTCCCCTCAATCAGCTATTGTTCAAAAAAAAAAAATCATAATAGTCTAATAATCTCGATTATTTTTAATCGATACTTTGGATAACTCAAAGAAAAAAAACACCATAATCTGATTTTAGAAATGTAAAGGTGATGCGAGTCAAGATAAATCTCATAGGAAATTCAGATTTTCTGTTTTAGTGTTTGAGCTCTGGCAACTGAAGACTCCGCAGAGACGTCTTTAGCCAGCAAACTCGGTGGAAATGAATCAACGGCACCATCTGCTTGTTGCAGCCAAGTCGTGCATTCCATTTCCACTTTGCTGCGTACTAACTGGCCACAATTTTCTTCTGGATCACTTAACTCGTTCGGTGCCGGCCATTTTCAGACCCGTCCTGATCCTACCATGGGATTGTTTACGTTTCTTGCTCTACCTGACGCACCGGGCTGCAGTACTGTTTTTTTGGGGCACTTTGGATAGCCGAACAGTACATTTGGACAACGCTGTGAGTTTCCGAATGGTCTGAGTCTAAGTCAAGCTGTCACGAACGGTGGTGGTGGAGTACCCCAAAAAGCAGGCAGGAGGAAGGAGCATGGTGAACTTGACAAATTGTATTAACAAACACTGAGAAACCTAAATCCAGAACATAGACCTGAAGACAGCAAGAATCCAAGGTAACAAACAAAAACCCACGGCAGAAGCAAAAAATTAACAGGAACAGAATCACCAACAGAAAACAATGACAGCAATAGTGACAACAACAATGACCCGACACTGAGTGGTCGGGCATCAAGTCTTTTAAAGTGACAACTAATGACACAATGACCAACAGGTGTGCATCTGCAGGCGGAGCCCTACAGTGCCACCTGTTGGTCACAAACAGAGCGCTCCGAGCCTATTTCTGAATGCGCTCACGATGAGGGAACGGGGATTTTGGCTGCTATTCGCTGTAACGCTCGTGGTCTTGGTTTTTGTAAAACACATTTCCCCTCAAAATAAATGAACAAATCAAGAAATAAAATCGCAAGACAACCCGCAAAAGAGCGAGGTAAATCCGCAATAGTTGAAGTTATGGTCGCAAATGAAAACCTTGCAAGAGACTGAAGCCACAGTAACCGAACTGCAAAGTAGCGAGGGAACACTTTTGGTCAACACATCAAAGCCGGTTTCAATACGCTTCTTTTTCCAGCCTTCTTGAGATTTCAGTTCACTGTTTGAGTTGTGCCTATGACCACACACACACGTTCCAAAAGTTTTACGTTCTTTCTTTGAGTCGTCGGCAGACGTCCGGTCTTTTCAGCCAAAGTGTTTGGAGAGTAGGTGGCTGAGTGGACCTTTATGTGGAAATGTTTGTGGAAACCTTAAGCGCTTGATGATGACCCAACATGAAACTAGCAGTGAACGATCGAAAACATTCCGGCCCAATAAGTTCAGGTCGTCACTCTATGGTCATTACGAGATGTCACCGCTGATGACTAGCCCACCCTCCACACATCAATGTTGCTACTTACTTTCACTTACAAACGGGGAAATCCCTGCCCTCTGTCAGTGACGCAAAGCCATCAAACACAGCCACCGTTTACATTTGCTTTAGCACGAATGGAGATCAGAGACAATCGGATCTTTCCCTAATCTGCTTTTTTTGAAGATTATAAAAATCAATGGATGTATTTAATCGTGTAGTTCAACTTCAAACACAATCACGTGCGCGAAAGTGATGAAAACATGACCTAACAACTCTTCCAATACAACGTTCACTTCAGTGGCACCTTGTTCTTTAATGTAAATGTACACTATTCTTCTCAAAAGATTAGTGTACATAATTTCTTTTTTACTCTTGGCTTCATTTGTGTAAAATTGCATTTTTTTTTGTATTAAACCCACTTTATTGTCAAAAAAAAATTATCTTGTACGACTAGATTATTCTTGCAAGATCAGACTTTTTTTTGTATTACCACTATTGTTTCAGAAGGTTTGCCGTTTGTCATGTAATAGATACGATTGATGATGACATTGTTTTTTCTTGTAATACTCCACCTCTGTTCTCATAAAGTTAACTTTTCTGCTTTTTTTATGGCATTCTTGTAAAATTACGACTTTTTTGCATTATAACTTTCTTCTTGGAAAATTGCAACATTATGACTTTCCACTTGTAAAACTACAACTTTATTCTCGTCGGATTCCAACTTTTTTCCTTTGTCCATTGCCACTTTAGTCTCATGAGATTACGACTTCACTTGATTTATTACATCTTTATCCTAAACTGTTAATTCTTATTATTTATTCTTACTTAAGTCTGCTAAATTTACAATATATTTCTTTTATTATAACTGTTCTCTTAGGACTATACTTGTGTTATGATTCAATTCTCGGAGAGTTATGACTTCTTGGAATATTAGGATTTTCTTGGAATAAAATTGCTCTCTTGGATTATTTTAACTTGACTTTCATCAGATTACGATTTATTTTCTTGTACTATTACTCGTCTCAAAAGATGACAATTTTCTCTTTCACCATTACAACTTTATTCTGAGTTTTTCTCTTCATTCTCATATAATTATTACTTTTTTCCACTTGCATTATGACCAATTTATTCTTGCAAGAATATCTTGATTTTTTTTTCCGCCTCTGCATCATTGCAGCTGTAGTCTCATTTTCCCTGTTCAGTAAGTGGTGTGTGATTAATAAGAAAAAGTTTGTACATCACAAACTAAGGACAACCAACCTACTTTCACACGACGTTACAAGAGGGAGGCCACATGGGGGATTTTTTTCCTTGTATAAGTTTCATGACAAAAAATCCCAAGACTATATAGGAAAAAAAAGACAAAAAAAATGTATGCATTTGGCTGATACCTATTCAGCCCACCCTTTCCAGCCCTGCAGCTATATAAATTAAACTCAAACCAGGGGGGCCCATGACACAACCCCAACTGCCTTTCACCTCTACGCATCCTTCAAGGCCACCATGGAGAACATCCTGATGACTTTCTTTTGGATTTGCGTCATCTCCGCAAACGTTCTGGCAAATTCTCTGCCTTTGAGTGACTCCAAGATTCCCTTGATGCGCAAACACGTCAAATGCGTGAGTCTTGTTACCCGTGTGCTCTTCAGATCAAGTATGACCTATTAATGATGACATTTATTTCTGTCCACACAGCCTTCCAACTCGACTTTCTATGCTCCCACAAACATAAAGGTAATGTTAGATTCTTGGGAATTATGAAGTCATGTCAAGCATATGTGAATGTGTGCATTGTCTGTGATGCTGGGAGTGATAACAAGGTCACGTTGGGTTCTACCCCTGTATCAAAGTGTCTAATTTAGCAGAGTTTTTGTCTACACCGCACTCGAGGTCGTCTAGTACAGGAAGTGAGCACGGCGGGTGTTCACACCTCACCACCAAAAGGAAGCTTAAAATCATCTTTTCTCCCTCACACGCACACGCAGAGACTCTGCATGACGACCGCACTGGACTGCTGTTTGAAAGAACTCGACGGAAAAATCCGAAAGGAGTGCGATGACCCTCACGAATACGTCGACGATGCTGTGGAGTACCTAAACGTAACAATTGACGAGTGGAAGGACAGTCATGTGAGTATTACCCTGCGCATTTATCACTGTGATAAAAATGACAATGGTGCTGAAATGTGCTTGTTTTCCCATTCTTGATAGCCACTGACTAACTCCAGTCAGTGTGCATGCAAGCGCTGGCCTAAAACACATTTGAGCCACTTTCTCGACAAAATGGAGTCGCTGCTTCAGCTTCTGAACAACGAAGCCTCCTTTTAAGTCACCTACGGCCACCTCTGTAGACGGGAAGTGCAGTGACACAGAGGATCAACTCCAGCTCTCACAAAGCAGCCAATTTTCTTGATGAAATTCCAAAGTTTTGACTGACTTACCGTATTTGATAGATTTTTTTTTCTACTCTATTTTCGCCATATAACTGTACTATTAAGATATGACTGCTTTGACTGCTGGTTTATTTCAAATCAAGGATGAAACTAGAGTGCCTTTTTCACTCCCTGGAATAAAATGCCATCATTTTGCCCAGGGGAGGCGGGGTTGAAGTATCGTGTCGATGTCAATTTTACAACTTGGGAGGTTATACCAGACTTGATTCTATGTGAAAGAGACATGTACACTTCTGTAAAAAGAGCCGTATTTATATATTTATTGATATTTAAAACTCTGGTTGGTTGTGTGTATTTGAACCTACACCTTAATAAATGCAATCTCAAAAGAAGTTGTGTTGAAATTATTGGAATGAGGATTTGAAAGAATTTGAAATCAAAGAGAGATGTAAAGACGACTGTTCCTTCTACACACACACACACACACACACACACACACACACACACACACAAGTGTCTAAGAAATCAATGTGGGAGAAAGTACTGACGTGTCGCTCCTGTAGGAGGAGGAACGCTGTCGCCATAAAGAGTAGATCCACTCGTCAGGCTGCCCACCTGAACCAAGATGGAAAGTGCAGTCATAGCGACATTAATGTCAAGTCATTGTGGGATTCGGTACATTCCCACGGTCACCTTATGTAGGCCTACAAGTCTCTATGACGACAGACTTCTGATCTCCTAAATGACATTTACAAGGAATGATTTGCACAGGGAAGGAAAAAGTCACAGATTATAACAAGAATATGACATCAATCCTTCTGCATGGCGTCTTGGTGTAAGTGCTGCAAATTCTGAGGCCAAAGCTTTCATGTGTTTACATTGTGTAACCACAAAAAATAAATAAAAAATTAATGCGCATCCTGTTTGTCTGCAAACCTGTGAGTAGCACCCCTCCACCACAGTGACTGCAGGGGGTTTATGCAGGCCAAATATTCAAACCTAACACTCGTGAAATTGCGGCTTGAACTTGAAGATCTCAGACGGCATCAACGCAGTTCAATGCTGAACTGAAATTAGTAGAGGGTAGAGGGCCCAGCAATCCTAAGGGAGGCATGTTATGCAAAATTGACTTTTTAACAGTGTTGTGTACAAGTAATTTTCTTCCTGAAATTAAACAACCGTCTGTTCTGAGCCACCAATTTGTGAAAATGGGTGTGCGTTTTATCAATTTCATGACCATGCCGGTAATGCAAAACACTTGCATCTCAAATCATCTTTCCACATTGAAATGCATGAACATGTTAGGAGTCCTACTCCAGCCTACCCCACTAAAATAAATACTCTAAATAAATAAATAGGTGAAATTACCTGACAATATTGTTCTTTAAAAAATATTATTGCAAAGAATTGAAAGGCCAGATTTTTGGGCTACAATTTGATGGAGATTGTTTTGTTCCCTCTAATGCGGGGGGGGGGGCTATGTAACACGTATAGAATTAGTCGTTCTTCACAGAGGCTAAAGAATAAACATCTGACTAATGTTATATTATTTGTCTACATGTGTTATTCCACCATTTTTTTCAAATATCTGTTGCTTGAAGAGTTACACGAGGACACTGATGCTATTTGTTAGCCCGTTGTTTGCTAACATTATGTTAACAAAATGGACTTTACTCAGTCAAAGCTATACAGTAGTTTATACACCCAATGTGTAAATTGTCTTTGTTTTATGTTTAGTATGAGTTAACTTAAACTAAGAATGGCGATAAACAGCTTGAAGCCTCTTTTTTTTTTTTTTTTTTTTTTGTGGTGGTGGGGGGTTCTTCCCTAACTGTTCAACTGCAAAAACTATCAAATGACAGCTCACATCTCGGACAAGACGGAAGCATTTGACGGCACTGTTGTAACACCCGCCATGACTTGGCAGCTCAGATGGCATAAGATGCACTATTTTCAAGCGATGGCAGGTCTATACATAAACACTATCACATCAAAGATAAAAGGCAAGTCGAGCTGCGGAGTTAGCATAGATTATAGCTAACAGCATTATCAATGTTAGCTTCTGCTCACTGGCATAAGTGCTAAAATAAGTTTCTTGTTTGGTGATGTTTCCACAACATGCACCACACGGACAAATCCGCCCGCGAATCCACTCGTGTAAATTGGCACCTTGGTGATGAAATGCTGCGCCTAGTCTCATGAGAACACAAATGAGCACAACCTTGTTTGCATCGAGGCCTCCACCAGAAACTTTTTTAAGACACATGGGAACTGGAAGTGCCCTTCAAACATTCAAAATTTCCAACAAAATAATTTTAATGAGAATTTCAGACGCACCGAAAATTAATGGAAAAAAAATGAATAAAAGTAGTTCTGAGACATCTTTTTTGTCCAGTGTACATTTTTTTACGAACTAATAAAACAAACAGTGTGGTTTTGAAGACTTCATCAAAAGCACAACTTAAAATGAGATATCATCAATCCTAAATATATACTGTACACGTAACATATTGATGGAGCACCTGTAGGAAATTGGTATAAAATATTCAGAAAGTAAAATTAGAGCTCTACATACAAGGAAGCACCTTGATCCTGGCATGCAGTGTCATATTTTGTCTTGCAGGCAGCGAAAAAACAAAACAAAACTAAAAAAAAACTTACCATGGACCAGTCTGATGAAAGTCAATAATGTTTCGTACTAACAATCACATACAGGAAACCGAAATGTGTTTCCTGCATGCTTGAGCAATAACACAAACAAACCAAATCGCAGACTTAAGTGGTCAAGTGACAGGCAGTGTTCTGTGCTATTGAAGGAAGCCAAATTTAAGATGAATTTTTAAGGCCTCTTGCTTGAAATTCAAGAACTCAGATTCACTACATGGGACCACGAGCAGTGGGCGATATGGCATCAAAATTCTATGTTAAAAAAACCAACAAACTGATTTGTATCTATATTTTTAATTGGTATTTTTTTTATTTTTCAAATTGTGCAACATTTTGGAATGCCATGAAACTATCTGAAACGGTTCAGCTTGGATGCTGTATTTTCCTATGGTTTACAGCTTACAGAAAGCACCCTTACTCATATGTGAAGAATTCAAAACTTGAAAAAAGAAATAAAAAGATACAGGCTATTTCCATTACAAACGGAGAAAGACTAATTCAACCCAAGCCCCCATCACCGAAACTTTGAACAAGTGAATGTGTTGATCTTACAACCTAAAGAAGCAACTTTGCAATTAGACAAACTGTGAACAATTGGTACTAATGTATTCCTGTGTACATTCTTCCGTACTTACGTCAACATATTTGACCATAGAAAGACCTCAACAACAAGAAACAAACAACTTTTCATTCAAACTATATGTTTGTAAATCTAGATGTTGAAGTTATCACTGACCATGGGCTTGACTGGCCAGGAACCGAAGCCTTGCTGCATCAGGTACGTCCTCAGCAAATTCTTTGCCTCCTGGTATGACTTTGCCATGGTCTTCATTGACAAAATATAATCGCTGTCATGCTACAATAATTACTTCAGTCAAAAAAAATTGAAAGGTACAGTGAATATTGAAGTGAGGAAGAACCCAGCAGAGTCACCAAGGTGGAACTGCCACCAAGGTTGTTCAGCGATGCTGGCTCACTTTGAAAATTGTTCTAATTTTAAAACAATTTTCATTTAAAGTCAGTTGGGATGGGTTTCTGCTCACCGTACAAGAAATGGATGGATGGCATTGTACCATTTAAAAAAATATAAAATCATAGAAAGAGGGCCAATAAAGCATGCCGACAATGTAATAGATGAAACAGGAGAAGGGCTGTTTAGGGTTACCTTGGCTTCTTTGTATGAAGTGGTGGCAAGCAAGTCCTGCCTATTGGCCTCTTTAGCCACCAACTTGAAGCGGTGCAGCATCGCTGCCTTGCATAGACGGCTCGCCAGAGCAGATCCACTCTTGAAGGGAGACCTATTCAAAATATTAAGACACCACTGTAGCCGGATTCGCAAAAAAAGCAGCACACAAGCCCTGTAGAGGCAAATCTTTCAGGTCGAGCACAAGCTGTCTTGTGAAGATGGTTGTCCTCTGAGCTGGAAAAAAATTGTTTCCATCAAACACTCTGCTGCATGTTCATCACATATTGGAAGCAGTGCACCCAAGTGAAACGTTTCATGAATGAACATGAAAAGATAATGTACACTGTTGGGAATAAATGATTCCAATTCATTGAACAAATATTAGATTGTAGGTTGAAAATGTTGGCCAGTGCAGCATGGCCCAAAGTCAACAGGGATAGGCTCCAGCTCAACTATGACCCAAATGAGGAAAAGCAGCATCGGAAATGGATGGACGCAGGACAGTATATCTGATAGTCTTCAGGCAACAGAGAAGTCTGCACACTCATTTCAGAACATGGATGGGCAACTAAAATGGTGGAGAGGGTCACAATTTTGCATCAGTACTACTTCACAAAGGACCAAGCACTTCCGAACCAGATCTATGACAGAAATACTATTTTAAATCTGGACAAAATACGTGCATACATGCAAAACACAAGCTCTTAATACATTTAACTTTTCAGAATACTTTCCTCAATGCATGTACTTGTGGCACAGACAGTATACACAGTACAGTGAAACTCCTCAACAACGAAACCTACATGGGCGAAAATACCCCCTAATGTGAAAAAATCTTGCATTAACACCATTCCCACTCTCCTGCCCCCCATACAACGAAAAAACTCCCTGTTGCGTTATATGAAATCTTTTTCTCTGCTCTTGCCTCGCGAAGAGATTCACTACAACGAAGTCTAATCCAACAGCGACCTCTACTGCTTCGTTCGGAAACGGCAACAGCAACCGCCACACTGGTTTACACAGCTCCGAGTTTCCTGAATGCAACATACACATAGCTGCTCTGCCATTGGCTTACCGAGCATCATCCTGGCCTCCGATTGGCCAAGAGGGACTTCACTATTTATGTGTGTAGATACTGTAGCTAGATCCGTGGAAGATAGAGTGGAATGCATCCGATTAGCTGCTCAGAGTAAATTGCTTGTGGCTCGACGGACAGTCAAATAAACGAACGTTTCCTGGAATGCTTTACTTGTTATCATGCTAAAAACCTTACGCTAACTGGAGCGCTAATTAGAGAGAAGGCGAATTCCATCGCGCTAACTATGGCCATCGAGGACTACGAAGCGTCCCGTGGCTGGCTTTAAAAGTTCATTGTATGACATCAGCTGAGCAACGCTGTCTTGGGTAGCGATCGAGGGGAGGTTGAGTTAGAGACAGTGAGATGGTGGAAAGAAAAGCCACCGGGTCCAGGAAGTATTTGTTATTGTTAGATTCAGACGCAGCATGAACGTTGCATTGCTAAAATGGCTACAAAAC